CAGTTGGTGGCTTGAAAGAAAGGGAAATGGGGAGGGAGAGGTTGGGGAACCTGGGTGACCCAAGCACCACATCAGAGTGGGCAACCATTTGTGGGGACCAGAAGGGCAGAGTGATAAGGAAGCAGATAGTGGGGCAAGAAAGTGCTCCTGCCTTCCTGCTGGGCTGGCTGCTATTGTGTGTGCCAGGGCCCTGGCCGGGATGGGGCGGGGTAGGGAGCTCAGAGCTTGCTAGAGGAGCTGAGTTGAGTGGGGGGCTAAGGAGGGAGAAGGGAAGGGGAGAGACTGAAGGGCAAAAAGAGAGGTGGAATATTTCCCTCACTTGGAGGCCCACACTCCCCTTCCCTGGCAACAGGAAGGCTCTGCTGGGAGTGGGGGCTGCATCCCAGGGAGGGTGGCTGAAGCTATAGCAAGAGGTACTGAAGTCAGCCTTCAAGAAGGACTTTCCTGGAGGAATGAATAGGAACAAGCCTGGGGAAGGAGTGAATTAGAGAGGGCAGTGACAGGGTAGCCTTTCCCCTCCCCATGTAGGTCCTGGGACTCAGTTGGACATGGGCTGGACCCTGGGCACGATGCCCTCCACTTTGTGCCCTCTGTTTTCCCACACGCCCTCAGTTGATTTCTGAGTAAGGGTTGGCAATGACAGGACAATGGCAGGAAAGTGTTGGCTGAGAGATGCAGCCTGCATCTGTACTGTGAGGAAGGGGCTAGAGCTGGGGCCCCTGGCAGCCGCAGGATGGCAAGAAGCTGGTGGTTGGAAAACAGGGCTCCCTGGGCACCCAGAAGGTACCTGAGGGACAGGGCATGGGCAGGAACCCATGGGCTTGGCACGTGGTAGGAGTTTAGGAACTATACCTTGACCCTGCACACTAGGGTTTGGCACATAATTGATGCTTAATACATGCCCTGCCTCTGAAGGCACCCCCCCAGGGAATGTGAAAACAGCAGTGACACCTGTGCCTAGCCAGATAGGGCCCCCCCCCCGCAAGCGGTGGTCGGGCTCCTCCTTTAAGATCCACTTCTGTGCACCCCATGCAGGTTGAGAGGGGTTAGGGAACCAGGTTGTGCCTCTGAGGGTTCCAGGCAGCTACAGGGTGAGCCTGAAATCCCCCCTACCCTTGGGCTGCTCCTCCTGAAATCCTAGCCGGTAATCTCCACACCTGTCCTGGCAGCTCAGAAGAGGAGGGAGGCTTAGCAGGGGCAGCACTGGCCTCTGCAGGCCAGGAGGTAGGGAGGCGGCCACGGGGAGAGACTGAAGCTGCTCTCTCCACACCATCCAGGAGTGCAACTGATTGGTACTGAACCTAGGCTACCTGTGTGCTTGGACGCTTGAGTGACACTCTGAGCTGGCCATACCCCTTCATAGCCCCCCACCCCCCACGTATGCACGCATGCATACACTCAGGCACACAGAGGAGTCAGTGACCCCTGAGGTGCCCTCCCTCTGGAGGACTCTGGCTCTAGAATTCCCAGCATCTAAAATTCTGCCTTGGGGCAGCGGGAAGAGAGGGCTCCCAGCCAGTAGGGCACTGTGCAGCTGCTGCAGCTTGACTCACCAGCTTGGGTCCCCAGGCCTAACCCTGACACCACACACACGTTCACCTCCAGAGGCGGGGGTGGGGGGGTGGGGGTGACGGGGTGGAGTGGTAACCGAGGACCAGCCCAGACACCCTCTTCTCCCCAGCAGCTTCCAGGGCTGCCCTCCCCTTGGCTGGTGGGTTTCCCTGTTCACCCCTGCCTGAGGCCAGATCCCTGGGTGGGTGGGGGGAGCTGAGACAGGAACCAGGCTGAGTACGAGGTGGGGGGGGGGGGAGGGGCAGCAGGGGCAGACCGACTTCTGATAAAGAAGGGGAAGGAAAGAGAGGGTGACAATAATCTTTAAAGCTCCTTCCAGCTGGGGGTGTGGGGGGGCTGTCCCTGCAGGGGATGGACAAAAGCCTCTAGGGAATGAAGGATGGTTCCAGAAGAGATAGGGGGCTGGGGGTTAAGTGAGGTCAAACCTACTTCACCAGATGCCCTCCAGTGACTGGACCAGGGCTTGGCTCTGTTGCGGGAGAGATGGATGAGAGCAGCTGCAGGGACCCTGGGGAAGGGACAGAGGCGGCTCAGGCACACACTCTTGGGAAGTGGGGAGTTAGGGGAGAAGGGCCCCAGCTACTTGACCACCCTGAGGGTTTCTGGGGAAGAAGCCATGGGAAGGAAGGTCCCTACCTCTGGCCAGCAGAACTTCCCTTGGGCAGCAATGAAGCAAGGGCAGAACTGTGGAAAGTCCATATGTGGAGGGAGATCGTGGGATGTCAGGCTGCTGGAGGCAATTCTGGGGTGGGGATCCGGGGTAAGGGTACAATGGCTTAGAAGAGCAGGGGGAAACGGGCTCCCTGAGGACCCACCCACCTGAAGCACAGTGGGGAGCCCTAAGGACAGGGTGGTGGTCAGTCGTGGCAGTGGGGAGGCCTTGGCAACCAGCACCGGGGCGGGTACTGTCTGTCTGCCAGCTTTCTCAGCCTGGGAAGAGCCCAACCCTGAGATCCTTATCCAGGGCAGGAACAGAACTGGTTTCTCGACTGGCAGCACCTGAGGGGCACAGGGCAGCAGGAAGCCAAAGGGTCAGGAGGGCAGCACCTGGCCTCAAGGGGAAGACCGGGTGGGAGGACCTCCCCCTGCCCCAGCCAGGGCTGGAACAGCCATCCCGGCCTCAGCTCTACCTGCCTCCCTGAGTCTTTTGTGGTGTAGGCCCTGCTTGTCCCCCATTTCTCCTCCAGGGATGGAGCCCCCACCCCTGGAAACACCCCCCGGTGTGGGTCTCCCAGCTCCAGGTAGAGGTCGAGCCAAGCCGGGAGAAAGTCCTGGTTGGACTCGGCTCCCCTCCCCTGCTCCTCCCCACACTGCATTGATGCCTGAGGTCACTTCAGGCAGGGGCACCAACAAGAGGTAGGGGTCCCCGGGGACTGTCCTCAGAGCCTGTTCCCTTTCATCCCACTCCCGCCACAAAGGGCCTGCCTGCTGGCCCCATCCATCTTATCCATCTTGCAGCCTCAGCCTCTTAGGCAGCTCTTTGTTAGACCCGGGGTCAAGGGAGCACCTCCACCCCGCTCCTCTGGGACCCTTCCTCGTTCTTCTTCCCTCCTCCTGAGAATCTACCCTCCTCTGCCTCCCCACCCATTCCCCTTGTACCCCTCCCTGACCTCCTCCCTCCCCTCTGCTCCCTCCCACTCTCCCTCTCTATCTTTCTCATCTTCTGTCTCACTTTCTCCATGTCTCTGCCTCTCATATTCTATTTGTCTTACTTTCCCTTTCATTCTGTTTTTAGAAAAACATTTATTTATTTATTTATTTGAAAGGCAGTTTTATATATATATATATATATATATATATATATATATAGAGAGAGAGAGAGAGAGAGAGAGAGATTGATCTTTGACCTACTAGTTCACTCCCCAGATGGCTGCAATAACTGGAGCTGGGCCAGTCCCAAGGGGGTCTCCTACGTAGGTGCAGGGGCCCAGGCACTTGGATCATGCTCTGCTGCTGTCTCAGGTTCATTAACAGGGAGATGGATCAGAAGTAGAGTACATGGGTCTTGAACTGGTGCTTATATGGGATGCTGGTGTCGGAGACAGCAGCTTAGGCTGCTGTGCCACAGTGGTAGCCCCTGTATCTCTTTTCGTCTCTTTCTCTCTTGGAATGTGCAGCATTGTCTGTCAGTCTTCCCTTCTCTCTGCCTCCCTGCCTCTCCTCCCCTCCCATGCCTCATCCCTGTGGCTGCTCTAACATGGCTCTCCTGCCACACCTGTGATGCTGGGGCCTCAGAGGCACCCATGGGCTTGGCCTCTTTCTGGATTTTGTCCCCTCTGGTCCTAGCTGTGCCCTGAATCTCTGGCTGCTATTGCTGGGCCTTTCAGCTCTGTGCTTCTGTCTCTTGTAGGGGTGCATCACCGGAGGAAGGTGAGAAGAAGCGGGGTGGGGGGTGAGGGGGCGGGGCGGGTAGGCATCTCTGCCTCAGTTTCCTCTAGCTGTTGGTGCAGCCTCCCCCAGGACATACCCTGTGACCTGTGTGACAGCCATGTCTCTCTGCCTCCCCAAGCCAAGGATAGTTAAGTTTTTCATACATAACCCTCCCTTCCTCCCACTCCGGACCACTCTTGGGGCAGCCTCGCAGGTCCTGCTCAGTCTCTCCTGAGGTGGAGGTGGCATGGCTGGACCTAGAGAAGTAGCCTGGGCTTCAGAGAAGCTGATGTTCTGCCCACAGTGATCTCCCTGAATTTGAGCTGTGTGTGTCTGTGGGTGGGTGGCAGGTGGGGGTTGTGTACTGTGTCTTGTTTCCTAGGTGCTCTGCTGAGTAACGGGAAGAGGAGCGCAGGAGGGCCTTGGGGCTGGGAGGGGCACCTGGAGGGACTTTCTCACGGCTGGCCCAGACTGGAGGAGCAGGGTGAGCGGTCCCTGCCCAATCCTGTTTCCCAGTCCAGGACTGTGACTGCCCATCACCCTGGGCTGATGAGCAGGAAAGTTCTGGAACACTAGGAGCTAGGGGGTGAGTTGGGGTGGAGGGGAGGGAAATTGGCTCTATGCCCAGGGAGTCTCAGTCTCTGGGGAAAAACACAACCCTTGAGCAGGGAGCTTCTGCCCTTTAGGGTCTCCTAGGAAAAAGAATAGAGGCGTCTCTCTCTCTGCCTTGCTTAACAGCTTCCTTCCGGAAAAAGACTGGATGGACTGCCAACTCCAGCCACTGGGGCGGGGTGGGAGCCGGGGACCTGGATGGGGATCAGATGGGCTGGGAGCCAGTGATGGGTGGGATGAAAGGAGGTGATGCCGGCAGGAGGAGAGGAAGCCAGGCCTCGCAGGCTGAAAAGCTGAATCGCCTTGGATTTCAGCAAACAGCAGTGTTCACACAGACCCTTGCGGCAGCCAATCCTGCCTGAGTCATTTCTCCAAGGCAGGCAGCGGGCAGTGGGGCAAGGCAGGGTGCATGGGTGGAGGTGGGATTGGGCCACTCTCATGGCCCGTTACTCCCGGACATAGACCCTGGTGCACACGACATCATCCGCAGTCATGACCTGGAAGGACAGAAGGCAGAGTCAGCCTGGCAGACCTTCCCATCCCCAGGTCTTACAGCTCTGGACAAGGTTGAGTGGAGACACTTGGGGACTTCCTGGCCTAAGGAAGGGGCAGAAGCCTGTCTCATGATACCTGAGCCGTGAATACTGCAGGGAAACCAGAAGTAAAAGCCCCAGGGACCAGGTCTTCCCGCCCCTGCCAATGGAACCCTGCTACTGCTGCTGCTGGGACCCACCAGCAGAGCACGTCCTGTGCCCCACACCACAGGGGGCACCCCTTCTAGCTCATGCTGTCAGCTCAGTCCTGGGAAGTCAGCCCTACCAGGAGGCAAGAGAGAAGGGCTACCAGTCATCCTCAAACCTCAGCCACCCCTGGGTCTCCCGGGGGCATCTCCAAAGACAGCACTGCAAGGGGAGGAGGGAGGACTCACCAGGATCAGCTCCCCGTCATTGGTCAGCTCCCTGGTCCAGGAAGTTTTGGGGCCCTCTCCCTTCAGGAGCCTCTGCTCGCACACCATTTTGTTCTCACGCTCCCATCTCACCAAGCTCTGCAGCAACAGGTGGCTGAGTGAGCCAGGACTGGGCAGCCCAGAACCCCCAACCTTGCTCCTCCCCACTCTATCCCCATCCTCCCTGGGAACTTGCTCCTCTGGGAAAATGCAGATAGGAATCTAGAAGAGCCTGGAAAGTGGCCTATGGAGAGCTCAGGCAACAGAGGACACAGCTTTGAGAGACCCCTTTTCCTGGCACTCACCTTGCAAGGTTTTCCGTCCACGGTCTGTTCCTCAAACTCTTCCCCGATCTTGAAGTCAATCTCGGTGGTGCGCACGGTGGTGGACGTCTTGATGTAGAAATGGTCTCCATCCTGTTTGATCTCCACGGTGGGCTTGGATGCTGCGGCTACTGCAATCTTCCTTAGCATCATGTTCACTCCTGTGGAGACAGAGGTGGGCTCCAGGGATCTGCCTCATCCCTCCCTGCCTATGTCACAGTTGGAGCTGACTGACCTCTGCCTTGATGGATGGCGGGGAAGAAAGGTGGTCAGTTCTCTGTCTGGAGCATCCAGGGAGGGTACCTTGAAGGGGACATGGGGTGGTACAACCCTGAAAAATGGTAAGGCTCAGGCAGTAAGGCCAGAGAGGCAGTGCCCCAGTCCTTGGAGAGCCTGTTCTAGCCCCAGCCTCAGCTTGTAAGGCAACAGGCCTGGACTAAGTTCCCTAAATCTCTGTTCTTTATTCCCAGAATTTTCCCACCTGCTGCCACCTCTGTGGGTTTATCTTGGCTTGCTCTGCTTGCCTGTGGCCTTTTGTTCTCTTTCTCCTTTGGAGACCTGCTGTGGTGTGTTCCCCACTGAAGTTCTAAGCATTTGCTCCTCAAACATGCACGGGGACCAGCATTCCTCAGTGGGGAGGAGATGGGGAGGTGCTTTCCCCCCACTACAGAGTGCCACAGACTCCAAAGTAAGACCCCCACCCCCTGCACCAGACCCAAGGTGTCTTCCTGGCTCAGCACTCTGCCTGGCTGGGTGACAGTGGGCAAAGCGTGTGACCTCTCTGAATCTTGAATTCCTTGATCATCAGACGCTGTCAATGAGGATGCTGGCTTCAGACATGGTCCACGTGTTGCCAGGCCTGGCTGTAGGTCTGCAGGAAACCATATAGCTATGTGCACAGGTCTTATTATTTCTTTTTTTTTTCTTTTTATTGGAAAGGCAAATATACAGAGGATAGACAAAGATCTGTCTACTAGTTCACTCCCCAAGTGACTGCAATGGTCAGAGCTAAGCTGATCCAAAGCCAAGAGCCAGGAGTCTTCTAGTTGCCCCACGCAGGTACAGGGTCCCAAGGCTTTGAGTCATCCTTGGCTGTTTTCCCAGGCCACACGCAGGGAACTGAATGGGAAGTAGAGTGGTAGAGAAACACATCAACGCCCATCTGGGATCCCAGTAGTTGCAAGGAAAGGATTTAGCCACTAGGCTACAGTGCTGAGCCTCGTAACTTCTACCGATGAAGCCAGAGTGGGAGTTCAGAGTCCCAGGCCCCTCTCCCCAAGTGGGAAGTACAGAAAGTGACACTGCCTCCCTCCTCCCATGCTGAGTCCCTTACTCCGGGACCGCCCTTTGCTACCTCATGGCCAAGCCATCTCACTCAGCCTCTGTGTTCTAGTAGCCTTTCTCAGACGGGACCCCTGCCCTCTGCTCCCACAGTAAGAGAGAGGTGGATGGGCTTGGTGCAATGGCCCAATTGGCTATCCTTCACCCTGAAAGCACTACAATCCCATATTTTAAAAAAAGAAAGAAAGAAAGGAAGGAAGGAAGAGAAAGAAAGAAAGAAAGAAAGAAAGAAAGAAAGAAAGAAAGAAAGAAAGAAAGAAAGAAAAGAAAAGAAAAGAAAAGAAAAGAAAAGAAAAGAAAAGAAAAGAAAAGAAAAGAAAAAGAAAGAGAAAAGAAAAGGGGCCTAGGAGGCAAGAGAGCATTCTTTTGGGATAGGACCACAAACGGACCAGAAGACACTGCTGGACAGACTAGAGTCTGAGCTCCATACCCCATGTGACCTGGCCTGGCCAGGCAGGAGGAGTGCAAGTGGAGGGCAGCCCTTCAGGGATGCAACAGGGAGGGGTAGCAGGGCCAAGCTGGCCTCAACTTCCTGGCCTCCTCCAGGCCTGGGGGAAATAGCCCCTTGCCAAACAGATGCCCCACCCCTTGGGAGTCCCAGGAACCCTACTTTTTGGCTGCCGATAATTTGGGTCCTGGAGAAATAACTGAGCTCCCCAGGCCTAGTTGTCCTGGTAGAGGAGACACACCCTGCCCCATCTCCCTAGACAAAGAAGCTACTGTAGTGTTGTGGCACAAAGGGTTAAGCCGCTACTTGCAGTACCAGCATCCTGTTATTATAGTGTCATTTTGAGTCCTGGCATCTCTACTTCTGATCCAGCAACCTACTAATGCACCTGAGAAAGCTGCAGAAAATGGCCCAAGTGCTTGGGTTCTTGCCACCCACATGGGAGACCAGGTTGGCGTTCCCAGGCCCTAACTTTGGCCTGGACCAGATCTGGCCATTTTGGCCATTTGGGGAGTAGACCAGCAGATTGCACATCTCTCCCTCTTGTCCTATCTTTCAAATAGATAAATAAACCATAAAAGACAGAGGGAGAGAGAGGCTGCAGTGCTCTGTTGCCAGCTGGGAAGTCCACCCAGATACCTGACACGCATTGTTCTCGCTGTAACAAAATCTGCTGTGTGACCATCATAGCTGATGGAGCTGACACCCCCAAACACCCCAAGCCTCCTTCACCAGGAGATGGACCCTCGAAAACAGCAAGTGTGGAGGTTAAGAGGAGGGACAGGGGTCCTGCAGAGCTGAGGCTGCGTTGTCTTCGAGCAGCCCCAGAGCTGGGCTCTGCTGACCTTGGCCAACTCCATGTTTGTCTAATGGGTCTGCTTTCAATCTGCCCCCTATCAGGGCCTGTGGAGGGCACGTGGCTCTGAGGGATCCTGCAGTGAGGACAAACAGGGTTGGGCTTTGGAACCTAGTCTCCAGCTGGGCCTGGGGGATGTGCCCAGCCACCACCTCATCCACTGGAGGTGCGGGTGGGGGGCAGCGGGGTGAGGCTAGGATCCCAAGCAAGTGGGGGAAGCGGCAGCAGTGATGTTTTGGAAATACCTCCATCATATTTGTTTCAGCAAGGAAGATTGGACTGCAAGAGGTATTTGTGGTCAGACTGCAGGAAGAACTGACCCTTGACTGGCACGAAGACCATATCAGCTATTCCATCAGTGTTCTAGACCCTTCTGAGGTCCAGGCTTGCTCCTTGTGTCTCCTGTCCCACTCAGGGTGCCCTCCCCAGCCACTGAGCCATCTAGAGTCTCTGTTTAATCCAGAAATGGAGGGCAGGCTTACCGCTGGGCTCCCAATGGCTGAAGCCCCTGCTAACCTCCAGCTTGCCTGGAGTGGTCTCCCCAGCAACTAAAAGCTGGCCCCCATCCCGCCCCTTCAGAATGAACCCCGAGAGAGAACCCTGCAGGAGGTGGGCCAGCAGAGTTGGAGGGGTAGGCTGGCTGCCATTCAGCAGCTCCCACCTCTGACAACAGCCTGCCCCCAGGCAAGGAACAGCAGGTCTCTGGGCAGAGAAGATGCTAGAAACCTGGATTTTCAGAAATGTGGGATTGGGGTTTCACGCCAGGCCATTTGTTGAAACCCAAGAAAGTGATAATTATCCTGGGCAATTTCAGGACTCTTGGAAATGCTCTGGGTAGGAAAATATTTGTCTCATAGGTGGGGGTGGGGAAAAAGCGCAGGAGGGGGAAGGGAAGATGCAAACCACCTGGCAGGTGGGCGAGAGAGGTGAGGACTTGGGCAGGGATTGGGTCACAGGTGGAGCACAGGGAAGGAGTCTGGAAGTCCTCCAAGGGGTCCCAGGCTGGAGGCCTGCCTCCTGCTCTTCCAGCCAGCAGCTTCTGAATTGCAGAAAGCCAGGTGCCTGGCTCAGCTGGCCAGCCTGGGGCTAGAGCCACAGTCCCCTCCCATCTCGGGTTTCTGCTTTCTTTCCTCTTGATTGGAAGGCTCTGAGTCACAGCTGGGGCTGGTACTGCTCTGTGGGCACTCTGGCCATGCTCCCCCAGGAGGGACTTAAGAGACCTGCTCTTTTCCTTGGAGATATAGGCTCCCTATTCCCCCCACTCCCCCACACGCACCCCCGGGGCCAGGTCCCCCTTTCTTTCTTGTGCCTGTCTCTGCTGACTCTACCGCGCCCCCCAGCCCTTCTGGACGCTGGAATCACCTCCTTACCCAGCGCTTTGAGCATTTCCTCAAAGTTTTCTGAGCGGATGATCTTCCAGTTGCCAGAGAAGTTGGACATGGTGGCTGCACCATTGGCGGTCCCCTAGATTAGATCCCTCGGTGGGAACTCTGGACTCTGAGTCCTTTCGTTCAAGGAGTCCTTCTGCGCCACCAAGAAACTCTGGGACCGAGACACGTCTGAGGGCACCGCCAAAGCTGGCTTGGGTTCCCGCGCGGGCGGTTTTTATACCCTGTGCAGCCCTCCCTGCCCAGGAATGAGGTGGCCCCGCCTCCCACTCTTCCCCCATCCCCCTGCCATCTGGGGCGGGGGCCTGCGCCCCGGCCACCAACCCCCACCCACTTCCCCTCCTCAGGTCTCTGGATTCTGCCTCATGGCAGGGGAGGGATGTGGGGAGTCCAAAATTTGCACAGCCCCAAGATAGGCTTTTCTCGAGTTCCTGTGCGAATGGGGAGGGGTACCGGTAGAGGGCAAGCACTTGAATTGGGGCGCCAGCGGGGTGGGGGTGGTGTGCAAATGTCCTGGTCTTACTGGTATTCTCTGTGGAGGACCACGAGATGCCGTCTCGCCTGTTCCCCATCCGCACCCAACCTGGCCGGGTGCCCTGGACTCTTAGCACCGGACACCCGGCGACCCCAAGGGCGGGAGGACTCCAGATACGGTGCGGCTGCTGGGGAAAGGCTCGGGCGGCTGAGCTTGGACTGGATCCGGAGGGATGTCTCCAAACTGAGGTTGGGGAGTCCACGGACTCCCCGGGACAGGCACCAAGCAAGGCAACGGCGCCCCCTGCTGGAACGACTCCAAGAGGCTGGGGGGGTTGGGCGCGGGCCCCCTCCATCGGTCTGGGCTCGGGTCTCGGGTGGGATCGCGGGAAGTAGGCGCCGGGCGATTCGTTTCCCATTAATGCGCTGCGCAGGCATGGAAGGGTTAAGCAGGAGCCTGGGGCGCATGGCTGGGGAGGGCAGAGGCCACAGCCACTCACTTGACATGAGCTCTTTATTAAGGCGTTTCCTCGGTCGCTCCTCTCCCCCACCCCAGACCCCTGGAGGAGGGCTCGGTGGGCGGCAGGGGGCAGGTGAGGAGACGGAGGCGCCGAGCCCTGGCGCGCCGCGCCTGCAAGCTTGGAGGATGGGTGCCCCGGCAAGAGGGGCGGAGCGGTCTCAGGTGTCACCTTGCCAAGCGGGGAAGGAGTGTCCGCCCCCTCAGAGGGCCTCTTTGATCAAAGGAGGTGGGGGTAGGGCAGGGCTGCGCTCTAAGACTGAATCGAGTGGAAGTGGGCAAGACCCGGTGGAGAAACCCGGGAAATGGAGAAACCGGAGCATACCCGTCTCCCCTCGCGCATACACACGTGCGGTGCCTGGCCTGAGAGGAACCATCCCTGCTTGCCCCGTGTGAAGGGACCGGAGGCCAGGTGCACGTGGCTCTGCAGTCCACACTAGTTTCTGACTCTGCAACCCCTCAGGATTTGCCCTTTCCGCTCATTCTGAAGCAAAAACTCACAACTGGTCCCCGTGCTGCGGCCTGGCCTAGGCCCCTCCCTACCAGCATGGCCAAGGGTGAAGTCCCAGAGCCCTCAACCCTCGGAACCCCGGAATCCCAGAGTCCAGGGAGCTGGGGGGGTGATGGACCCTGAACAGGAGGTGGGTGGGTTGGGGGCTACATTGTATCCTGCTGCCGCCCCTACCCGGACCGCCAGGCTAACACCGGCCTACCTCCTGCTTCAGCGACCCCCAGGACACTCCAGCTCTCTTCCCAGGCCGCCTCCCCCTGCCCGCAGCCAGGGCGCCTCACCCCGCACCCCCGCACTCTCCTTGTCCCTCCACCTCCCACAGCTGGGGAGGCACGGAGGCCTCCACTGCCGCCAGAGGGCTGGAGGGGTGGCCTTCGCGGCCGGGCTTCCAGGAGGCGCCTCACACTGCTGCGCCATGCCCTCCTACGGCTGGGCACGACGCTGGGAGCCCCTGCAGCTGGCACGCACACGCACGCACCTACGGTGTCCCAGACACCCAGCCCCGGCGGGCGGGCAGTCCCCATGGAGACCTGGGGCCCCGAGGACGCTCCCCGCTCCCCATCCCAACCCCTCTCCCTCCCCCATCCCTTCCCCCACAGCCACCCTCACTCCCGCCAAGCAAGCAAGCAAGTGACACAGCAAGCAATCAGCCACGCTTGGCACCACCATGGGGTCGAGACCTGGGACGGGGCACTGGGAGCCGAGGGTCTCAAGGGAGCCGGGGTTGCGGGGGCCGCGCCGCACCGCACACTCCAGCGCACTGGTCACCCTCACCCACCAACTGATGCACACACACACTAACAGGCCAGCACGCAGGCAGCAGGCACTCACTCAGTCCTACACCACCCACAGGCTTCGGGGCACAAGAGGGATTTCGGTGCACAGGGCAGGTTTGCCCACGCCACAGTGAGGGGCCTGGGCATCCCCTACATCCACTTTTGATTTCTTGTTTTTCTATTAATTTTTTTAAAGATTGATTTATTTATTTACTTTTTATTGGAAAGTCAGATATACAGAGAGGAGAGACAGAGAGGAAGATCTTCTGTCCGATGATTCACTCCCCAAGTGAGCGCAACAGCTGATGCTATCCCAATCCAAAGCCAGGAGAATCTTCCAGTTCTCCAGCACGGGTGCCTGGACCCAAAGTTTTGGGCCATCCTCAACTGCTTTCCCAGGCCACAGGCAGGGAACTGGATGGGAAGCTGGGCCGCCAAGATGACAACCAGCACCCTTATGGGATCCCGGGCATGCAAGGCCAGGACCATAAACACTGACATCATGCCAGGCCACTTCCTTCCTTTCTTTCTTTCTTTCTTTCTTTCTTTCTTTCTTTCTTTCT